TTCCCCCCCTATATTCTCTCTCTCTCTCTCTCTCTCTCTCTCTCTCTCTCTCTCTCTCTCTCAATTTGATCTCACTAAATTGCCTTATAACTCTCAGAAGCTAACCTCAAACTTGCAGTCTTCCTGCCCAGCCTCCTAAATGGCTGGGGTTACAAGTATATACCCCTATGTGTAGGGAAAAAGGGCCAGCCAAAGAAACACACCCTGAGCAGAGTCAAAGAAACACACTTTGTCCCTGGAATCAGAGCCAGTGAAAGAAATACACCCTGGCCCTAAAATTAGAGCCAAAAAGCTAAAAAGAACCGGTGAAAGAAACACACTTTGGCCTTGAAACCAGAGCCAAATCTGACCCTAAAACTGTGCAAGAAAAACCAACCAATCCCTGAGCAGGAGATCTAGCCATTCTGAGTTCAGGGATTGAAATCTGACCAATCCCTACCCAGGAAATCTCCCTGGAAAAAGTCCTCCCCCAAGAATCCCTATATAAACCCTGTGTCTGTTCAGCCTGTGGCTGTTTGGGCTGCCCGGCTATCCTCTGCCACCCTGGCAGGGGGCAAGTACTCTCCTTTCACTTTGGAGGGGGGGTGCTGGAGCTGAACTGTAACAACTTCGCCAGGGAAACCCTCTCCTGCCAGAGCAGAGCTAATACACTGGGGAAGCCTTTCCCTGAAGCAGGGCTGTAAGCTGCTATGCTTATTGTGACCTGTGGCATTCCTTGGCTCCCGATTGCCAGAATACCTTTCCATCCGAGCTGTAACACTCAGTATTCTGTGACTCCCAAGTGCCAGAATCCCTCCCCATCCAATCCATCAAAATGCTTACACTATGTCTAACTGGAAACCACTTTTTTAGGTTCAGTATGTGTTTTAGGATTTCTTCACATCCAGTGTGTCTCAAAGTTTAGGGTCATTGGCTACCCTGAGGGAAAAGCAAAAAATCTACAGTCCAGGAAGGGGGTTCTAGAACCAAAAGTTCATCATGTAACTATTCATTAAACACACCCTAGTGTCTGCTCTGTGCCATTCGCACCACCTGAAGGGTGAGACTGAGTGAGAAGACACAGCCTTCATCCTAGAGACGCTGAACAGGTGAGGTGACAGCTGAGAGAGGACCAGGTTGGACAGGAGGGCAAATGGATCGGGGAAGGCACCTGAGGCTACAGGTTGATACCCACTGAGCACACTGACCACAGTTAGTGACCCTGGCTCCATTTGTACAGTGTGGAGCTGAGAGAGAGGGTTTTGCCGTACACAGAGGGAGCTGGAGTAGGCCTTGAACCAAGAAGGGAGCCTCACAGCAAAAACTGAAGCAAATAGATTGAGGTGGGGATGAGGGGGTAAGTGGAAGATGGGGGGACCACTTCCTGTCTCTGCAGATAGTAAAGACTCACCTGGAGGGGTCTATCACTTTGTAGATGACCCCGCGTGCGGCTGTGGCACTGGGCACGCCCGTGGACATGAAGTACAGCTCCCCTTTGGACAGGGAACAAGGCAACAAGTGAGAACTGCTTGCAATACAATGTAGGCAGCCCTGCCCCACCCAGGCTCCCTCGGGCTCAGAGGCTGACCCTGACCTCCACCAGCCCTGAGGGGGTGTTTTGGCCACCTACCACCTCAGCATACCTTTATCGTCTGTAGCACAGTCCCCAGAAGTCCCATCCTGCCTAGGCCCATAGAGGCTCCCTCGTCCATCCAGCCTTTCTCTACTCCCTGCTCCCATGGGATTCATAGGCGTATTCTGCTAGCTATGGAAGCGGGGTCCCCACACACTATGCATGCATAAGGACCAAGCTGAAGCTGCCCGTGCTGCCTGGGGTGGCCGGCCCTGTCCTCTTGGTCTCTGTGCTGTGAGTGCCCCTGAAGATCACTGGGGCAACAGAGGGCCTTGTAACATCATTCGATGTGTCCGAAGCATAGCTAGAGAGCCAGGGGCCCGGGAGCGGCTATTTTGCCCTGGCTGGCGGCGCTTATCCTGAGCCACGGCTGGCCTCGGGCTGGCCAGCTCAGCAGCCCCCCCTCCCGGTTTTGCCACTCTGTGGCACTCAAACGACAGAGGAAGGGCCCTTGAGAACTGCAACTTCCTCCAGATTCTGCATTGGGGAGGGGGGATGCTGCTTCTAAATCATGTTAACTCCCTACTGACCAAAAGAAAAGGCTTCCAAGGGCTTGGTGAGCTTAAGAACCTCCGTGGGGCTGGGGCTGGGGCTGGGGCTGTCCTTTGGGAAACTCAGATGCTAATGAAAGGGGGCGGGGTCAGTTCAACAAAGATTTCCCAGACTAGGCCCTGGGGGCTTTGGGCACTGGGCCCTGCAGGGGATACCCATCCAAAGGCCGTGGTGAGCGTTGCCTGGAAACTTAAACAAGACTGCACCAGGGCCTGCTGGGGGCCCCTGGCCTTTTGTCAGGGAACAATCCCAGGGCCAAGGACAAAGGCGGGATGCTGGAGAGGGATCCAGCCTCCGTGGTCCCTTCTTGTCTCCCTTCCCCCTCTGTCTCCTGCTGGGAATGTGAGGTCCAGGAACAGGCTAGAGGCTGTGCCTGCCTGCAGTGAAATGTCTACGTGGTTCCCTAGGTAGCTCAGATACATTTGCCATCGGGAACCCAGCTCTTCTCTCATCTTCCCTGACCCTGCTGACACTGGGGACTTGTCCCCATTATGCCTCTAGCTCTCCCATCAGCCCCACCATGGGGGTGGAGGACAGCCACTTCTCTGAGTTTCCAAATAAGAAAGGGGAAGCTCAGGAATAGAGGTTCTAGGGCTGATTCAAGAACTCACAAGGAAAAAGCCCGAATCTCAGTCACACCCGTCCCCCAGGTGAAAGTCATTTCATGCTGAGCTCCTTTAATGGCAGAGGCTAGAAGGATGACCAGGGTTGGTGGTTACAATCCCAAACACGGGCAGAGGACGGAGGCTCTCTGGATGCTCACCAGCCTCGTCCTCTGCAAAGGAGATGATGTATGGATAGTAGTTGTTGATGAGGCCTGGGAAAGCACATGTCTGTCCACGGCCCATGCAGACTTCACTGTACTTCCACTGGCCTGTCTCAGGGTTCTCTCGGAGGGACATCAGTCGCCTACAAAGGAAGAGGAACTGTGAGGTCATGGCCAGTGTGCTGCACAAGGAAACTTACCCATCTACTCCTCCATCCATTTATTCACACACCAATCATCCACCTGTCCATCCATTCATTCTTCCAACCCCTTATGCTCTGCCTGTCTGCCTTTACACAGACCTATTCATCCTACTCATCATTCCTGAGAATGACCGGGACTTTCTCCCTGAGAAAGAGACCTGTTTGCCCCACTCCTGAGCACACACATACAAACACACATTCCTTTTAGCAGTCGGGGAGAGCGTAGGTCATGTAGGCCACTCACCCACTCATGAAGTCGCCAAAAATGTAGAGGCCATTGAGGTTGGGGTACTCGCAGCCCCGGTACACGTAGCCCCCAGTGACTGATTTGCCCAGCTTGTGAGGGTAGGCGAAAATCGGCAGCACGTCATCTGAGGGTCGGGTGAGAAAGTGGGTTCGTCCTGAGGCCTAGTGCTTCACAGACAGTCCTGAGCCAGGCACAGGAAGGGCGTAGCCTGAGCGAGGAAAGCTCTCAAAGGGGCATAGCCGTATTTTTAGAGGTTCAGCAGGAGGTGCTTGGCGAGGAGGAACCTAAATTTTGCTTGAAGCAACCTCCTTAGTACAGGGAGGCGAGGAGTGGGGAAGGCTGTAAGGTAGGGTGTCCAGGGAGGGAGGGAGGCAGGAGGTCCCATGGGGTCACTCAGTGGAGTGAAAGGGGTGGGATCCTAATTGGAGTTCCCCGGAGGAAAGGGGCAGATCTGGGTGGGCGAGCCCAGGGAGGAGCGGGGCATGGCAGACATAGGTTTGGGTTTCTGGAGGAATGCTGATCCCAGTTGGTTAGTCCCCAAGCGGATGGGATGGAGCAGACTGGATCTATGTCGAGCAGGGGAGAGTTGGGGGCAGATCTAGTTCGGGGGCGGGGGGAAGGGGACCAGAAGGCCCCTATTTGGAGGTCCCCAGGGGCGCGGTCACCGAGGGAGGCGTTGGCGCACAGCTTGCGGTCGTAGCACTCGAAGCCCTCGCGAGCACGCCAGCCGTAGTTGCGGCCCCGCTCCACCAGGTCCACCTCCTCGTACTTGTTCTGGCCCACGTCCCCGCAGAACAGGCGGCCACGGCCAGTGCCAGACATCGGGTCTCCGCGGTCGAAGGAGCAGCGCCACATGTTGCGCACGCCCAGGGCGTAGACCTCGGGCCGCGCTCCGGGGTCGTCCACGAATGGGTTGTCGGGCGGGATACGGTAGGGCGGGCCGCGCTCGTTGCGGTCCACGTCAATGCGCAGCACCTTGCCCAGCAGCGCCGACCTGCGGCCGGGGCGGAGAGCGCTGGTTACACAGGGTCCACGCAGGGGGGCAGGCAGGGTGAGCCACCCCTGAGCCCAGCCCTGCTCAGCCATCTACACCGGCTCTCTCTGCACACCCTCCGGCGTGTCTGTCCCACACTCGCTGCGCAGCAAGCCCTACTGGAAGCCCTAATTCACCACTTTTCCTCACAGCTGACCTTTCAGATCTAAACTGCCCTTTATAGAAGGCACCAGAGCTAGGACAAGGCGCCATCCGGCTTGTGGATCAGGAGAACTGTACTCATGTACACACACACACACACACACATACACACACACACACACACACACACACCCGCGTGCGCGCGCACACACACACGAAAGGAGACCAGGCCATATGCTCAAAACAGGAAATAAATAAATGAAGATGGGATTTGCACTCAGCTTCCGGGTCTCTTATGGGAGTAACAGACCTACCCCAGATCCCCCTTTGTCGTGGGAATACCTGCTTTACCCCAGCAAGGCCCAACAGGCCAGAGATCACCTTAGAGAAAGTCCCACAGACTCACTGCTGTCACTTCTCGGGTATTTGTGACAACGGGCACTGTCCGTGCCCCTTGACTACCACTGGTACCTCCTTTCCTCATGACAGCCTCCCACAGAGCTTGTCATTGTCCTCACTAATCAATGGGGTAAATGACTTAGGTGGGATCCCAGATAACTGCAGGCTACCACCCTGCTCTGTGTGGTAGGGGCAGTAGCTCTCCCTCCGGAAACACTTAAGAAGTTCTGTGTGCAAACCGATCCCCCAGCGGAGCAGAAGCAGCTCATACTTGTTTTGTGCATTTCCAAACTTCCCAAAAGGATCTCCGGCCATCCCGCCATCGCCGGTAAAGATGTACAGGTAACCGTCATACCCAAAGAGCAGCTGGCCCCCATTGTGATTGGAGGCTGGTTCTTCAATCTCCAGGATTATCCTAAAGAGGAGATAAGTAGACCCTCAATAAAAACGCCTTCCAAACGGTAATCCCCAAAGAGCAGTAAAACCTTCTCTCAGATGCCATTTCACAGTGGAAAAGACTGTCTCTCGTAATTTTATCTTTCACAAGGACCTACAGGCTGAGTAGGGACCATTCATGTCACTGTGTCGAGGAAGGACCTGGATGCTCGAAGCAGTTGAGAACACAAAGGCCCTCAGCATCACAGCTTGGACCAGGACTCTGAGCCAGTGTTTTTCAACTGCTTTCCATCCATTCCTGGTACCCAATGGGAGTTTGCCATCTTCTCCATTACCAAATCTTGTTTCCCACTGGTGAACCAGAACACGTTTGACATGCTTCCTTGATTGTTAGTGATGAGCTGCTCAGGGAGGTAGGATGGGCCCTTTATCTGCACACCCTGGGACCTCCTTACTGCCACTGGAGAAAGCCTTCTCTGTACCCAGTCACTGGCTTTCCGTCAGGGCTTCCCACGGATGGGGGAAGGCGAAACGAAAGGAGACACTGCCATTCTGTCTCGGGAAGCAGCAGGTATGTGATACAAGAGTATAGATATAGAGATACGGCACCAGAGTGACCATTGTGGACATCGGCCACACAAACACCTCCAGTTGGTTCCTCTACCCCAGTAGATACAGCAGTCGGTGGTCTTGGATCACTGGCCCTCCACCACCCTTCCCTGCCACATGGCTAACTCCCTGTACTAAAGTCCTCCACCACCAACAAAATGAGTCCCAGAACAACATTCAGGTTCAACAGGACCCAACACTACATTGACCTCATTGTCTCTTATAAAAACAGAACAGAAAAAAAAAAAAAAAACGGAAACAAGACACAGAGTCAAGGTCTTTAGATTCAGATCTTGAGCCCTTCCTGCATCACCAACACTTCGGCTTTTCCACAGTGAGGCCGGATACATATGCCCCTGACAGAGCCCCAAATTCAGGGACCTCAAAGCAGAGGACTGCTGGTTACCCTCCCCCAGCCATGGGAAGACTCTGACAACTGCCCTGGGTACCAATGATGGCTCACTCCTGGCCCTGCCAGCCTGCCAGCCTGCCAGCCTGCCAGCCATGCCGACTTCTCCCTCTGAGTGAGTCAGGTTCTGTGTGATGTGCCGAGAGGAACCTTACTGAAGCTTCAGGCTAAAATGTGTGAATCTGTGTACTTCATGTTCTGAATTCAGGATTTCTTTGGTGATTTATTTTATTTTTATTTGTGTGTATGTACGTGCTTCCGCCATGTGTTGGAGGCCAGAGGGCATCAGATCTCCTGGTACTGGAGTCAGGCTGTTATAAGCTGCTCAATGTGGGTGCTGGAAACTGAACTCGGGTCCTCCGGAAGAGTAGCTCCTAACTTGTATTTCACCTTCCATGCCTCTCTGTCTGGTCCATAGGACAAACTTCCTCCCACTAAGAAGTGGTCTCACAGGCCTGGTTACAATCATGAGATTTCTGTTTTCTTTCTTTCTTTCTTTCTTTCTTTCTTTCTTTTTTTTTTTTTTTTTTTTTTTTTTTTTTTTTTTTTTTGAGTTCCTGGTTGCCAGATAACTCAAAATTAATTGCTATACGACAAGATGTCTATCAACCTGCAAAGCTACTGTTTTGAGCTGTTTCTCTTTTTAATATGCCCCATGTCAACATTTCACAGTTTCATCAAATACAAGGTGTCCTTTTGTTTGCCTTTTTCACCAACACACCTGAGCCTGGACTTGTTCCTGCTTGCTCTTTACTTGAGGGTAGGGACAGGCAGCATCACTGAACTAACTACATTTCCCATGCTCCTTTGCTAGCTGAACAATCTCAGCCAATAGAAGGCATTAGGGGAGCCAGGAGTGGGGCTGGTGTTTTTGTTTGTGTTCCTGGCGATATCTATACAATAGCTGCCTTTCCCCCATGGCTGCAGTCTAGATGGCCCCCAACCAGACCTACCCCACAGTTCTGGGGCCTCACAGTTCTGGGGCCTCTTCCTACTGCTGGTCCCTCCTCTGCCTGGGAGAGTCTCTGAAACAGGTGGCCAAGCCAGGTCAACTCCCCTTGGAACAGTTGGAGCATAAATAATAAGAGAGTAGGTTCTACAGGCACTGTGGGGCCTAGAAGTAGGAACAGATTAAATGGGGTAAAAGCTGGACATGGTCACCAAAGCCTGTAACCCCAGTACTCAGGAAGTGAAGACACGGAGGACCAGGAGTTTAAGACCAGCCTTCAACACATAGGAGGATCCAGGTCCGCCTGGGCTTCACAAGACCCTGGAGGTAGGGGGGCAGAGAGGGGGTGGTCTGGGGCAGAAGAGAGACCCCCAACTGGGGAAGATGCTGGCAGGAATGGTAACCTTGGACCACAGCCCAGCAGGCCCAGTGACAGGATGTATTTGTGGACAGACCAGGACTCCAGCCTGGATACTTCCAAGCTGTGTGACCTAACAGGCCATCTTCCCCCTCCGAGCTGTGACCTCATCCAGTTTTATGAGTCAGATGAAATAACTGTCTCTAGAGCCTGCAGCAGAATAGAGCTAAGCATCTGGCCCAGGAGGCCAAAGGCAGGGGTCGGGACATGACCCCAAGCCAAGTCTGTTTTGCAAAATCATTCTCCCCCCACCCCCAGCCCCAGAGCATATGATTCAGGCCCCCATGGGGGTGTTGAATATCCACAGCATTTAAGACAGACTTGCTCATGCAGCCACAATTGTGTGTGTCACGCAGCCCCCCACGTGATCACTCAGCCCTCCCTTGGCTGGGGCTCCCGGGAAGCCACCTCTCTGAGCCATGATCCACGGTGTTCTCATCGTCCTCAGAGACTCTGAACTCGCTGATCCGGATCCACTCTCGGTAGCCGACCCCCACAGAGTAGTAGACATACAGCTTGCTGGGGTGGGGGAAGTGGGGATGGAAGGCAAGGCCCAGGAAGCCACGCTCATCCCCTTCCCAGGGGGAGGTGAGCACTGCTTGGCTCACATTCAGGAAGGGCTTCTCCAGGCGAGAGAGGTCAGGCAGGTAGGTCCACACCAGCCCCCCCTGCTCTGCCACAAAGAAGCGGTGGCTTCCATCCCCGGCATGTACCATAGCAACAGGGTTTCGAAGACCATTGGCCACCTCCTCCAGACACAGCTGCAGGCAGCCCTTGGCGTCGGCCACTACACGGCCCAGGTTTGAGTTCAGGTTCTCGTTGACCAACAGGCTTGGGAAACAGTAATCGGTGTCATCTAGGGACAGGTAGCGGCATAACTTAGCTCTGTTGCTCTCCAGGGCCCAGAGCTCATGGTCAGGGGACAGGTGTCGAAAGAGGCCTCTGCAGATCTGCCACATGTCTAGGCAATAATCCTCACATAGGCCAGGCACCGTCCGCAGGGGCGTGGCTGGATCCTCAGCATCATAGAGGTGGGCTGCATAGGGCGAGCATTCCTGTAGAGACAGGAGGGCTCAGAGATGGCAGGAGTGAAGCACACGCCTGCACAATTTACCTCTTGCTTTTGTGTCTCCATTCAGGGGTCACCTCCCAAGATCAAACCTTCCTTTCCAGTCCTCCCTGCTATAACTTCCTGGCCTCAGATTACTTAGAAAAACAAAGTCCTCACCCCCCCGCCGCCCGCAAAAAAAAACCCAAACCTTACCATGAGCCCTCACTATGCCAAAATGTAACATCACGCTTGCCCCTTCTTACAGGAGCAACAATTGTTGAATTTCACTGCTACGTCCCAGACACTCACATAAGCCCACGGCACAGCAGGGCACAGCAAATGGTGAGGGACTGTGAAAAATATTCTACCCTGCCAGCCTCCTGGCTACCTCGGTGCACCTGTGCCAAAACACTCCTACATCTATTATTCATTTAATGTTTACGAGTACTACACAGGGGGGAAACTGAGGCTCAGGCCCTCAGTGTTATTCAGGAATATGCTCAGATAGTAGCGCATGGAGGCACCTAAGTTTAGTCTTGGGTCTAACCTACTCTCTCCATAACCAGACAGTCAACATGGGCATAGCACCTGTGTGAGGTGAGCACAAAGCCTATGTCTTCCAGAATATCCCAGACCATCTACCCTGCCCTCAGACCCTGGAGCTGTCCACATGGCAGCTCCCAACACAGTCATCTGGGAGATGAATGAATCTCCTTAGGCACTGCCTGACCGGAAAGGCTCCCAGGGTCCTTTCCTCAGCTCTGCCTTGGGTAGAACTCATTTACTTTTTCTGCAGTGGACCTCACTCAGGCCCCCATGGACACTGCATAGGAGGAGAGTTGCTGTCTCAGGGAGCAAGCCTATGATCACAAACAGGAGAGTGTGTGGATAGGTAAGACGTCTGCTTCCCACCCTGCCCTAGACAGTCCTGCCATGCAGCTGGTCCTGCTGGTGTCAATCACTGGCTCTTTCCCAGACCATCTCCCTGCTGGGCCTGCAGCAGAACACTCCAAAGCCCAGGGTCCTTGAGGACATTCTGTGGAGTCATTCACACCGTGATTACTTTTCTCTGGTGTGACAGACCTTTGTTGCCACTTCCCTCAACCCCAGGGCTGACTAAGTTCTGGATCCCCAGAGGCCTTGAGATGCAATTCCTAGATAGAGAAGACAACAACGACATCTGCGGCTCTCACCAGGAAACCAGGCTGGGTTGTAACTGGAAACCTCAGTGGAAAGCAAGAGGACAGTGAACCTCAGAGCTGTGTTCCTAACTCCAGGCCAAGAGTTATATGACTGTTATAACTTCAGTCATTCCCTGGCCTGTCCCCTGGTCCCTCTATTGCTGTGGGCTAAGTCCCACCTGACCAACTGAGGGTCCTGTGTGTTCTCGGCATCTCTGATTTGTCACTGTCCCCATCTGAAGTGTCATCTTTCATAGGCTCCACTCTGCATTCTGTGTATGACAGGCCAGATAGCCAAACCTCGGACTGTGCATTGCCAGCACCCTTGTGATCCTCTGGATGCTGTTGTGAGCCAGCGGCAGCCAAGGGAAGACCAGAAAGGACAGTGTACACATAGGCTTCACTTCCTTTCTACAGGGCAGTGTCACTGTGACACCAGTGTTACGTATGAGGAAGTTAGGCTAACCGTGGCCACACGCCAAGAACTGGCCAGACCAGGACTCACCCCCAAACTTTATGACAGACCGCCTTGTGCTTTTTACACTGACACTTTTTCACTCAACTGCCACCAACACTTTCCACCAACACTTCACTCAGTGGAGCACAGACTACCAGGCACTGGCCTTGGCTCCAAAGACACTGTAGAGATGAGCTATAACCTGATAGTCCTTTCCTTGTGAAAATTCAACCAGAACACATGGAGGGCACAGCGGCTTTGGGGACCTCGGAGGACCTTGGCATCTACCTACATAGTAACCACTGAAACTAGCAGCGTCTTCCACACAATGTAAATGTGGAGCTCAGACCAGAGCCACTCAAAATTAGTAAATGACAAAAGGGACCAGTAATTGCTGCTGGCAGAGAGGGTGGGCAGTCACTGTCCAGGCATAAACATAAACGGTGGGCAGTCACTGGACCTCCTGTCCAGGCATAAACAGTGAAACATCCACCACAGGAGCAAGGCGCCTGCCACCTGATGGCCCCAAGGTTGCCACAGACCAGTTACTGACACTCATGACTCACGGCCTCAAGTCCCAAGGCTTCTTACACACACACACACACACACACACACACACACACACACACCGCCACACCCAGCCAGGAAGACTGGGTCTTGTACACAATGTTCCCTCTGTGGGATGTTTCTTCCTCCCTCACTTCCACATCTGGCAAACTCCTATTCTTGATGCAAGGCCCAACCCACAAGTCTCCTCCTTCCTCCATTCCCAGGCTCCTGCCCCTTGGATGCTCATGACATTCTATCTCTGACTCACATGTAGAATTTTCACCTGGTAATTTGTCACTTCCAGAAGCAACCCTCCTCTTCTGCCATCACCTCTGCTTCACCAGAGGTGGCCTGGCTTCTCTGTCTGGCCATGAATCCATTAACTCTTTGCCTGTCTGTCTACCCCCACCGACTGTGGGGCCCTTGGGGGTGGATGTCTCAGGATCCAGCACATGGTTAGGCTTTAGGGCTGGAGGCAGTGTTGTGAAGTGGCCACAAGAAGGACTTTGGAGCCAGAGCTCATGTTCCATGTACGATGTCTGGCAACTCCATACCTTTCGTGCCTATGTACCCATCTGTAAAATGGAGAAAGAACTCCAACCTCATATAGTTGTCAAGAGCAACGAGCCATGTGTTTGTTCAGTAAATGTTCAAATAAGATGAACCCCGAGGAAGTAACTCAGTGGTCACTCTGCCAGGCTGTCCCAGATTTCTGATGACTTTTTGCTACTTGCCTTGGTACCTTGAAAGAGTTTCTTTGGTTGTATGTCTGTCAGTCTGCCTCGTGAAATGAATGGAGAGGCTTTGGAAGCTAAGCCTGTGACTTGCCAACTGCCTCTGGACCCAGAGCACAGAACCAACTCCTCGATGGCTCTGGAGACATGTCTGCCGAGTGCATGAGCCTAATAAATGCTGTCACGGGTCACTATTCAGTAACTCCACTAACTCCACTGATAAACTCACGCATTCAGCTACAGAAAAGTCAGCCACGTGTGAGCCACACACCAGCCACACTGGGGCTGCCATGTGCAACCAGTGCCCAGCATATTTTCCCAGAGGAGGGCAAAGCCTCGGGAAAGAGCCTCCGGCCTCTGCAAGCCAGCTGTGAGTCCTGAATGATCCTTGATGGAAACCTGTGGGTAAGGATCCTTGAGATCGGTGGCAGTGAGGATGGCGCTCCCACACTCTGCCATGACACCCTCAGAGTGGGAGACCATGCCACAGTCTTGGCAGACCTCCTGATGCAGGCTCAGTCCAGACATGAGGTCACCCCCAGAGACGCCTGGAGGTATGAGCAGACACTCTACCACAGGCTGCTCAGGCCAGGCCATTTTGGGCAGGTTCCCAAGGAAAAAGAGGCACCTCCTGCCAGCAAACAGCCTCAGGGTTGGCTCCTTCCTCCTCCCTGGTCCTGTCCATCTCCTTTGCCATGCTGAGCCTAGTGCAAGTACCTTCTAAGCAAGCATGGCTGGGTGTGGGAACCCTGCTATTGACCTGGGTACTGCAGAGAGACCAATGGGCCTGTTTGGGTGGACCTCCAGGCTGGGGAGAGAGGCGGGTGGTCCATCATAGTGTCTGACTCTCTTGAAATGCACCAAGTGGGGTCTTGGTAGCTACGACATGAGCAGAACACCCTAGAGCACTGTGCTCTCTCTCTCCCTTCACTCTCTCCTCACCTTACAGCACCTTTTGTCACCCCGGTACACTTTCACAGGGGCACTGAGTGTGTCTAGGTCTTCTGACATAAATAAATGCCCACCTTTCCTGAAATGGCCCCAGATTCTCACCCTTTCCCTGGACCAGCAATAGAGGAATTCACCTGCAAACCCCAAGTGAACCACTCTACTCTACCTGTGTCATTTAGTCTTCATGGACTGGGGTCATGGGTAGAAATCTGTCCCTATCTTAAAGATAATGTAACTGAAAGACGACCATGAATCAAGTTCACAATCAGGAGAGGCTGTGGTATCAGCCCTTTTCTTTTGCTCCTCTAGCCTGCCCCCTGCTGGCTGGAACTGGAACCTTGTACTGCCCGGTGGGGAACCTTCCACTGATGAATCCCTTCATTTCACAGGTTAGGATTTCCCTGAGATCAGATCAATGGCGCAGGGGAGACCCGGGGGCTTGTGGTCAGACACTCCACCTTAACAAAAGGAAAACGGGAGTTCAGTGTGGATCGAAGTGAGGACTCCACCGTCAGAGGGGAGATGATATGAGTAACGGGGGTCTAGGGAGAGCCTCTCTCAGGTGAGGAGCCGGGCAAGTAGCAGAACGGAAAGGTGGGTGTTTTAAGCACGTACGACCCTACAGGCCCTGAGAAATGGGCTCTCAGGCTGCTCTATTAGGTCTGATAGAGGAAGGGTTCTCGCCGGGACAGCAGTGCCCAGGCCTCCCACACAGCCACGCCCCATATTCTGGCCGCATCCTCTTCCCATCCTGCCTTCCTTGGTCTAGCAAACACTTCACCCTGCAACCTGACAGGGGCAGAGCTCTCTGAGGTGGGGCACTGAGGGCGGATTCCAGAGCATCCCAGAGAATGGGAGTCTTTAGTCTTTGAGAGGAACTGAGGCCCCTAAAAGGTCCAACATCTTTGCAAAACAACTGAATGACAAGAGCTGTCCTGGGATGCCTGGTCACTTGGCCCACATGGGGCCAAGTCACTCCCTCTTGGACACCCAAGCTCCAAAACCCGGTACACACTCCTAGCTCTCGGGCCTGTAAGATTGCCATCACCTCCAAAGTCCAAGATCCACTCTTAAGCCTCGCCCCTCTGGGGTGCCAACTCCTCAAAATCCATACCCATTCCCGAGTCTTGCCTTTATGGGGATACCATCACCGCTCAGCCTCCAGACGACTAGGGCGCCGCGTGCTCCTCCCCAGGGAGCCGGCTCACCTGGCACAGCAGATCCAGCGCGTAGCCGGCACACGTCGCCCACATCCCGGGGTCCAGGCGGGTCTCCAGTGCCCGGAAACGCCGGGCCAGCGCCGCGTCCTGCTCGGCGGGGCAGCAGCCGAAGGAGGGGTACTGCACGCAGAAGCTGAGCGGCTGCGGCGGCCGGAAGGGCGGCCTGAAGTCCAGGCACTGCGGGTGCGCGGCGGCCAGCAGAGCACGCAGAGCCAGCAGCGCCCCGGGCCCGATCCCGGCCACAGCCCGTCGCCCCGCCATCCTCCAGGCGATCTGCAGAGGGAGAAGCAGAAGGCCAGCCAGCCCCGCAGGCGCGCCCCCCGTGAGCCGCGGGCCGCGCCCCCGAGCGCCCGCCTCCCGCCTCGTCTGCACCCTCCCGGGACTCGCCCCGCAGGCCTTGAATCCCAGAACCCCTCTCGCTGGTGGTCACCTCTGCTTGGGAGCACTCTTGCAGGACTGGAGAAGCAGGACACAGCCTGACTCCCGCTCTGCGGGCAGCCCCCTCCTCCTGGCCACGAGCCTTTCCAACAAGGGCAGTGGCCTGGCCTCTGGGAAGCCTCGTTGCCCGGTTGCACCTCGGAGTCTCAGCTTCCTGTCTTGGGACGGACCCTACTTGGCCTCCAAGGAGCAAGAATTCCAAAGCCCAAAGCAGGGACTCCTGGTTTGTAGTCCCACCCATCTCTGAGCCAGACAGGAACCTTAGCAGAGTGTTTAAAAATGGAGGTGTGGTGCAAGAGACAGGTGGTGTTGCCCGGGACCTCACAAGAAGTGAAGTTTGAGCCCGTGGTAGGAGGGAAGAGGCAGCAACCTCACAATACATCCTTGGCCATGCCCAGGCTCCTGTCCTCCCCTGGCCATGGAACTCTCCACCCACAGCCCAGAACCCGCGGGCCTCGGTCCTTTCTACATAGGAAGCCCTAATGGGTGTCTCTCCTGTAGATACGAGTCCACGGTCCCACCCGCAGCACTTGCCTCAGCTTCACCCCAAGAGCACACATATACACTGCCTCTTGGGCCCGGAATCCGTAACACCCCACACCCTGGCACTTGCCAACGAGGACTGCAGCACCGGCTCTTCCCTGGAGCATGCATCCTATCTGTTCTGGCACACACGTTCTCACGTGGTCTCCACCACCGAGCTAGATACCCATTCTCTGCTGTCTCCTCGAATTGCCCCGTGGCAGTCTGTCTGCCAGTTAGTGTGGTTAGGGCTGCTTAGATTCTACCGAGCTGTGGTTGGAGCCTCAAAGGGGGTTGGGGTGGCAGCAATGAGTCAAGGTCTTCATAAAAGAGCAAATATCTCATCTCTAAGTATTTAAGAGTGAGCATACTTAACACACAACTGATGGATGACACAGAGGTTGAGAAGCCACAGAGGGAGATAGTGAGACAACGTGGAGTTTTTCCATAGCAGCGGTGGTCCACAAAGTCCCTGGTGGCAGGAGCTGGCTAGAGACAAGAAGCTATGACCATCAGCTGCTGCAGCTCGACCCTCAAAGGTGAGAGGGGAAGACAGTCATTGTTGGATAATGGGGGGGGCAGACAGCAGGGATAAGAATACCCCACTTCCCCCTCCTCCCCTCCTGCTCCAATCAGTAGTATAGGCTGAACTGAACAAGGAAAGCAGAATAGGAGTCTGAAAAACATGGTCTTAGGAATTGGGTGACCACACAAAGTGCCTGGCAACTGCAGAGCCCCTGGAAAATTAAGGCACAGGTAGGGAAGGACACGGTCACAGCTCCCTTGCCCCAGGCTGGTAGGGGCAGAGTAGGGTAAGGATAATACACCATTTGGGAAAATTCCTGGAGGCTGGGTGTGGATGGAGATGAGTGAGAAGCTGGGAGTGGCACAGTGTTAGGGTCACGCTCTTGCAAGTTTACCACCAGGAACCCATCCAGGATCCCAGGGAAGGCTCACGGAAAGCCCCCTCGTGGTCCTGGCAGGCAGACGGAAGAGAGTTGTCAGGACCCTGAAGCAGGCTGTCTCTCCAGGAGGAATGGCTTTGAGACTCTCCACTCAAAGGCTGCCCTTTACATTGCTAACTCGGTAAGCAGACAGTCCACTCAGACACAGTGCGAGGGCCACAGCCCAGGGGCATGGGGTTATAGACAACCCCTCTTCCTCATCAGCAGGCTCCGGTGTAGCAGCAGGAGATGTGCATAGGAACCTCAGGAAACAAGGAGCAACTATGTAGATACTGGTAGATGCTTCAGGCCTCTAGCACCCATTAGATGCTTAAACCCTAGTTAGATCCATACTTAAGTCCTCACTCCAAAGCACTATTTCCCTCGGTTTGTGCCATCCAGGACACCACATCTGCTTTCCAAAAGAAACAATCAATCAAACAAACAAACAAACAAACCAAGGTTTGAAGAAAAGTCTGACTGAGGAGGCCAAACTTCCATGACACATATGTTATGCTGTGGGACAGGGAATTCGGGAAAAAGATGATTCAGACATTGAGACTCCGTTGTAAACAGGGAGCTGTGGGGGAAGAGATGGGTGATGTAAACACAGACAGAGCTGTCAGATAGAGGAGGGGAAGGCCAAGCCTGGGGGAGGCCCTGGCTTCCATCCCCAGCCAAACATTCTTTGCAAAAGCAAATTAAAGGGGCTTTAGAGACAGCATGGTAAGTAAGTACTTCCCTTGTGAGGATGAAACTCTTAACAATTCCTCACATGTTTGTGAGGAATTGAACTCCAGCCCTCCTGCCCTCCAGCCCCTGCAAGAGCAGCAAGCACCCTTAACCACTGAGCCTTCTCTGCAGCCAACTTGTGTTGTCTTTCGAGGAGGGAACTGGGTAGAAGTGAAGCCAAGCCACTGCTGCCCCACTCTAAACCAGCCCCATGGTTTTAGGGCTGCATGAGGTCATGGGGTTCCAGAAACACTGCTGACATATCCAGGGGTCCAGTAGGCGCTATCAGCTTCGAGAGCCAGAACAGGTAGGCCAGCAAATCTGCATCCAGATGCCTCTCTGACTAGAATTCTCCACGTGGCCCCCCCCCCCCCCCCAGCCACTAATTACAGGCTGGAGGGCTCCTTCTCCAGGAATGGGAGTACTGGGCCACCAGCCACGCCATCTGAGGGGGAAGCTGGTGGTCCGTTACTTGTCAAGCCTTCCTCAGGCCAGGCCTCCTCGGGCCACTTTCAGGGGGTGAGGTGGGGAGGGTGTGCAAGGAGTCAGCACGGGGACTTGGGGGTGAGTGGGCAGTTACTCCACTACTCCACACCTGTGGGATGTGGGTCAAGGCAGGCAAGGAGCCAGACAGGAGCCCAAGGCTTTTATAAACATTTCACGTGTATGGAAAATTACCAAGAACAGAGGAAGGAACTCCCAAGAACACACTCCAGACTCTGCCGATGGCAATATTCAATTACATTTCCTTCAGATGCCCGAATTAAACAAACAAACAAAGGCACGCCGCTTGAGGATCTGTGTACCACACTGTGAAATGTGATGTGTTTGAGTATTTAAGAGCTCTGGAGGGCTGGAGGGACGGTACAGAGGTTAAGAGCACTCGGTACTTTAGCAGAGGACCTCAGTTTGGTTCCTGACATCCACACTGGGCAGCTCACAACTGCTGATAACTCCATCCAGGAGTTCCAGTACCCTCTTCTGACTTCCCTGGTCACCAGGCACACCCATGGTGCACAGACACACATGCAATCACAGACTCGTACACATGAGAAGAAATAATAAGCTGGACATGGTAGCACATGCCTTTAATTCCAGTACTCAGAAGGAGGCTGAAGCCGTTGGATTTCTGTGAGTTCAAGACCAACCTGGTCTACAGATCGAGCTCCAGGACAGGCAGGGCTGTAACACAGAGAAACCCTGTCTCAAAAACACAAAATAAATAAATAATGATTGCTAGAGGACAGCTTGCTGCAGAAAATGTGCAAAAAACAACAAAATAAAACAAAAAAAAACCAACCAACCAACCAAACAAACAAACAAAAAACCCCAGAGTTTGTCACCAACCCACTGGCTGCCCCATGTGTGTCTCTTCGCATCAGGACCACATGTTCTGACCCTGAGAAAAATCCTTGGGAGTATGGCCACGCAAGATGCCTGGGAACATAGACGTCACCTGGCTCTTCTTGTACTTCTCATGATGCTCTCTAGTAGGGGCCCCTCCAGCCGGCAGTGTTTGGGTCCTCTGCACCATTGAGGACAGCACAGTGGCTCTCCCTGCCACCTAGAACTCTGCTGGGCTACAGGGTCACTGTTGAGGGAAACCAGCCCCTCTCTCCCCTCCCCTGCAGCCCTGACTGCTCAAAGTCTGCTGTTCTTTTAGCAAAACATCCAGTTTTAATTTAAAACTTGGGAAAAGGAAAACAAAACCAAGCAGAAGGCAGAGATGGGTGTTTATAGTGTTGCTGCTTTGCTGGTGCCACCTCGAGCCCAGGGGCTCCCCAGTTCTTTCTGACTCTCCAGGGGTCTGACTGGTACTCTGTACCCCACAGGAAGCCATCCCCTTCTCCCTCACGGTTGCTACTGTTTCCCCATCACATGGAGATGAGGAAACTGAGTCACATAGAGATGACAACAGTAAGCCACGGTGGGATCAGAAAGCGGAGGAGTCAGACTGGGTTGTGCCTCAGCTGGTGGAGTGTTTGCCTAGCACGCGTGAGCCCTGGGTTTGTTCCCAGCACTGTATAAACTGGGTGTGGCAGTGAACATTTTATCGTAGCGCTCAGGAGGTGGAGGCAGGAAGATGAGGAACTCAAGTCAAACTCGTCTGCATAGCAAGTTTGAGACCAGCCAGTCATCACAGAGTCCATCAGATGCTCTCAGAGCCTAAGTCCATCATCTGTGGCATGGGTAAGGAACCTGAGGCCCAGAGAAAGAGATGCCCAGCACACTGGGAACATAGCTTAGCCCCATAGCTGGTTTTCCTTTGAGTGGTCCTACCAGGTCAGAAGAGTAGCTCCCGGTTGAGCTGGGAGCTGGAGAGCTGGTGCTAGAAGGAACATGTGCAGACCGACAGGCCTCGGCTCCCGGATAGCTGCATTACTTGAAACCCTGTCTAAATAAATAAATAAATAAATAAATAAATAAAGCAGAAAGCTCAAGATTTGAACCAAGGACCCAGTAGCCTGCCAGTGAAGGCCACAGTGGGGTTGGTGGCAGTGGAGGGCTCCACCCAAGTGCCTGACTCTTAGAATGGACCCATGGCCCGCACCCTAACACCAGAACACAGTAGCACTGCACTCCACTCTCTCGGCCTTGTCAAAGGCTGTTCTGCAGGAAGGCACATTCCTGTACACAGCTGCTCATTTCAGAGAGAGACACCGAGCCAGGACCCAGACCTTCCTGCCTCTGGAGGCCAGCAGCACGGTGTCTGACAGGAGGGTGTTTAATCCTAGAGTCCCTCCTAGGTAGCAGGGTCTATGCCATTTCTTTCTTCCCTCCGAGTCAGATTCTCACTATGTAGCCTTGGCTGTCCTAGAACTCACTATGTAGACCAAGCTGGCCTTGAACTCACAGAGATCCACCGGCTTCTGCCTCCCAAGTGCTGGGACTAATTAAAGGTGTGCACCACTACGCCAGGCTCCTGTAGGTTTCTTGTAGTAGAGCAAACGAAAGGAGATGGGGAGATCAGGGAAGATGGGGGAGGAGGGACAGTCTGACTCTCATTTTTAGTTTTATATATGTGCCTGTGTGTGTGCAGTGCCCACTGAAACTACAAGATGATATCAAATTCCCTTGGAGCTGGAGTTCCAAGTGGTTGTGAGCTGCCGGACATGGGTGCTGGGAACTGAACTCTGGTCTTGACAGCTCTTAACAGCTGAGCCGACAGGCTGGCTGAGTGGAACACTTCTGCCAGTCATCACAGAGTCCATCAGATGCTCTCAGAGCCTAAGTCCATCATCTGTGGCATGGGTAAGGAAACTGAGGCCCAGAGAAAGAGATGCCCAGCACACTGGGAACATAGCTTAGCCCCATAGCTGGTTTTCCTTTGAGTGGTCCTACCAGGTCAGAAGAGTAGCTCCCGGTTGAGCTGGGAGCTGGAGAGCTGGTGCTAGAAGGAACATGTGCAGACCGACAGGCCTCGGCTCCCGGATAGCTGCATCATCTAGACTTCACTCTGATCTAACTCACAGGCTGACTCCTAAGAAGTCCCTCCTTCAGCTTCAGCCTCCAATGGAGAGTCCAACTCCTTACTGTCTCCTCCAATAGTTCCCAAGGTGTGTTCTATACAATATGGCATCTCAGTGCTTTTCACCAGAGCTGGGGTTGCATAATTGTCCCGTGGCCAGGCAGTGTTTTAGTGTTTCTAATGCTGTGAAGAGAACATAGCAACTCTTCATAAGGAAAACATTCAATTGGGGCTGGCCTACAGTTTCAGAGGTTTAGTCCATATTCAGTCACACTGTGAACCTGAATTTACATTTATTCAATAAAATTAACCTTGGGTCAGGTGGCTGAGTTAGCAACTAATTAACAGAAAGTAATCACAGAGCATCAGAGGGCATCCAGGAGAGACAGAGAGGCACGGGAAGGAGTAGGGAGGGATTTGGAGTGGTGCAGCATTTTTGTTTGTTTGTTTGTTTGTTTGGCAGAGTGGAAGGATGCTCTCTTTGGGAGATGCCAGCAAGTTGAAAAGTTTAGCCAGGTGCTATTCAATGCTACATGAGCTAGCAGGTTTTCACCCCAGCCTTTCAGTTTGGAGTCTTATCTACAAATAGAACAATAGAGATTTAGTTAATGCTACCCTTAGCACAGCAGCGGAACAGGCTATGGCCTGAGCATCCTGGCTGCTGCCAGAGAAGCAGGCCAGTAACTGTGGAGTCACAATAACAGTAGATTAAGGTGCAGCCACTATGCTGAAGTTAGAACAATGGCAGGAAGCATCTCAGCCTGCAGGCAAACAGAGGGGCTGAGAATTCTGCATTTGGATTGACTGGCACCAGGAAGAGAGAGTGACACTGGGCCTGATTTGATCTTCTGAAACCTCGAAGCCTACCTCCAGGGACACACTTCCTCCAACAAGGCCACACCTCCCACAATGCCACGCCCTATGACTCTAGGAGGCTCATTTTCATTCAAACCACCACAGGTAGTATTGGAAGCATCCCATATAAAGCCCTCCTAAACATTTAAGACATGATTTGGTTCACTGAAAACCCTGAAACAGAGCTGGAGAGATGGCTGAGAGGTTAAAAACCACTGACTGCTCTTCCAGAGGACCTAGTTCAATTCCCAGCACCCACGTAGCAGCTCACACCCATCTGTAACTCCTGTTCCAGGGGATCTTACATCCTCACACAGACTGACATGCAGGCAAAACACCAATGCAAAAAAAAAAGAAAAAAAAAAAAAAAAAAAAAAAAAAAGCCCTGAGAATGACTTGTTGATGTATTTGCTTCAGTAAAAGTTATTTTTCCAGATGCAAGTGGTACCACTCTC